ACCTCCCATCTTAAAAATGTAACTAATTTTAATTTGCAACAAGTATAATATATAATGAGTACAAAAGTAATACAACTAATTAAAACTATTTTAATTAATACTTCAAACTAATTTAGTGATAACTACTTTAATAAAATGTGAAGTACTTTAATTAAGTAATGAATAAAAGTGTGACTCTAAAATAAAAATTTAAATTGGAACTAATCAATAGTATTTTTTTAATAAATACTTAAAAGTAACAAGTGTGACTTGAACTAAAATGTGAGTAATTAAATTATAGCAACTTTTCAAGTACTTTAATTTAGTGAAAACTACTTTAATAAAATGTTAAGTACTTTAATAAAATTAATTGAACTACTCTTTTTTTCTTCAAATATAAATTCAAACTATTATAATGTGACTTTAACTATAATGTCAATTAACTAGTTTTTTAAAGTAGAAACAAAGGTAGTAATTAATGGGAATACTAATTAACTAATTAACTACTTTAATGAAAAATGTAACAATTAGTGGGAACACTAATTAACTAATCAAGTAATGTTAATACAAAATGTAAGTAATAAGACAAATGTATGAATGTGTATACTAATTAATGGGAGTAAATGAGTAATAGAATGATTTTAACTAATATTAATCAAAGTGTAACTAATATATAATATATTGTGTAAGTATATATATATACTTAAATATATTAATTAGATGTAATAAAAGTAATATATTAGTAAAAATCGAATATATATATATACTTAATATATATATATATATATATATATATATATACACACACACACACTTAATATACTAATTAATATAGTTCGAATTAATTTGATATAATTCCAACTATATTAGTAGATAATAAGAACTGTATATAAGACTTTATTAGACTTTATAATAATTTGTAACTAATATATAATATAATGTTTATAGTATATAATATATGAGTATACTACTATAAGATGAATAATACACTTATATTTAATACTTTAATATATAAAGTATATACTTCATATTAAGTAGATGTAGAATGTATGTATTAAGTAGATATAAGTAGATAATGAGTAGAGATTAAGTAGATAAGAAATATAAGTAATATAGTATATGTATTTAATTATAAGTAGATAATTAATATATAAGTAGATATAATAATTGTATAAGAATTAAATAGTAAAATATAATAGAGATTGGAGAATAAGAGAATAAGTAGATAAGAAATATAAGTAGAGAAGTAGATAATAGTATGTATTAAGTATATACTAATAGTAGATAAAGTATATTTAATACTTTAATATATAAAGTATATATTAAGTAGATGTAGTATGTATGTATTAAGTAGATATAAGTAGATAATAAGTAGATAATAAGTAGAGATTAAGTAGATAAGAAATATAAGTGATATAGTATATGTATTTATAAGTAGATAATTAATATATAAGTAGATATAATAATTGTATAAGTATTAAATAGTAAAATAATAAAATATAATGGAGAATGAGAGAATTTGAGAAGATGAAAATCCAGATGAGTAGAGAGTAGATAGTAGGATTTAGGAAGAGTTGGAGAAGAGGTGTGGAAAAATGTTTAAAATTAGGGGTATTTATAGTTTTTTTACCCCCCCCCCCCCCAAATGGCCCAGACCCCCCTACAACCCACCCAACTTCTAGTATAGCCGTTTGGGAAGTGGGTGCCCAGCCAAACAACCCTTTTTTGCCCAACAGATTTTTTTTAGATCTAACCGTTGTGACCCGGGCCCGACCCGGCCGGGCCGGGTCACCTTTTATCGGAACCGAGCCCGCCCCCCGCTACTCCCCCGGTTCGGGTAAACACCCGGTCCCGGACCGCTGGACCGGGCCGGTCCCGGACCGCTGGACTGGGCCGGTCCCGGTCCCGCACAGTACCGGGCCGGGTGGGCCGAACCGAATTCAAGACTATTTAGTGGCCATCATCAAGTAACCGTCGTTTAGTTACTTTCGTCGCCGTCAGCCGCCAGTGATCACAACCCTGCCTGGTCACGACCATCCAATCCATTTACCAGCCCGCCAGCACATGCACCCTTACCCCTACCTCGCCCCCTCCCCGTTGTCCAACCACATCTTCAACCCACCTCCCTGACCGCCGCACCCCGATCCCACAACCCTAACCGTCCAAAATTAACTGCACGGGCACATCCCCGTAGATCTGAAACTTGGCCATCCCTCGTGTGTCATATGGGCCGGCGCTCGAATAGAAAATGAAGGAGAAGAGAAGGCGGTTGCGTTTCTAGCTTTCCAGACCGCAACCGTCTCGTTGACCTCGTTGATGGTGATGCGATGACAGAGAAGTCAGTGAACGACGAAGATGATGGATGCGACACAAAAATGAAAATAGAAAATGTTTGATGCTCAATGAAAATGTGGCGATTTTCATCTCAATAAGAGATGTTTGATGCTTAATTAAAATGTCGTGATGTTCAACTAACAAAACTTACGATTTTCATATTAATCGCATTTTGTAAGTTACATGTGCTCATTTGATATTGAGGTTAGGTTATGCTCATTTGTAAAATGTCATATCACTGCATATTTCAAAAGTATCATATCACCTTAAATTCACATATTGAAATTCGTAGGAATGGTTTATACATAAAATTTAATAAGTTTTATTAAAGAAAAAAAGTGAATTAGAACTTAGAAGATATGAAGCAGTGAAGACGATGCTCATTGTTAAGCTCCTAATACGCAATAAAATAGGTCAAAGCTATGTTTGGCACAACGAGCTAAAATTGGAGGCTAATGTCTTAAATAGGGGCTATTGTCTGAACGAGAGACTATTGTCTAAAGCTAAACTTTGGAGTGCTGAATCTGAATCGTTAGCTGAATGGAGTAGACCCGTTTGGCAAAAAGAACTGACAAAGTGCAGGAATAATACCAAATTACATTAAAGAGCATATGATTTATTAATATACTCTGTAATAAAATATATTTATTATAATGATTTTTATATTTACAGTTTTTGTTAAAATTTTACTCCGTAGTACAAACCAATTTTAGGACCATAACCCGTTTGGAAGAAATCCAACATTGATCCATTAACCAAGTCATTATAGAAACACATAAGCAGTATACTAGTGCGGATGAAATCTCAGGTGAAAGCAATACACAAACAAATGTATAAGTGAAGAGTAGTTTAATTAATTCACACCTTAAAAAACGAAAGCAGGTGAAGACGAATTATTTGGAGAAACTGATCACGAGATGATCAGGAGGATAAGTTGGGAACCCAATTTTTTTTTTATATTTTATAACCGGCCGAATTCAAACGCTAGGGCGGATAGTGTTGCTATTCGGCTCCAATTTGTTTAGGTTCAGTCCATTTAAGTTCTTGTACGAAACATGTCTACTCTTAAAATAATTGACTGAAATTTTGATATTTCAGCCCATTTTGAGCTTATTTGACTTGCCGAACATACCCCAAATTAGGGGTGGACTCGGACCGGGCGGCCCGGTCACTGTTTGAACCGGCCCGAACCGCCGCCTCGGCCAGGGATCGATCCGGGTAGGCCCGACCCGCTGGGGTTCCGGGCCGGGATCGGGCCCCTGAAAAGGTGAACCGGCCCGGCCCGCCCGGTTCGGGCCAATTTATTTATTTTTTTTTTGATTTTTTTATGTTTTTGGGTTGGGCTGGGTATTTTGGGCCATTTGAGGTGGTTTGGGGGTAAGGGGGAGGGTTGAGGGTTAATTAGGAAAAGCCAAAAAAAAAAAAAAAAATTGAACCGAGGCCCGGCCCGGTCCTGCCCTGCCCGAACCGGACCCGGGGGTTACCCGGCCCGGTTCCGGGCCTCACCTTTCATGAACCGAGGCCCGGCTGGGCCCAGGCCCGAACCGGCCCGAGTCCACCCCTACCCCAAATGGTCACTCAAGTTATGCTTATTTAGCGAAAACATTGAGTTTTCTCTTAAATTATGAAAATGTCGCCACCCAATAAATGGACTTGTTTGGTTATTTGATATATTATGGGTCCTGTAACTCATTACGAGTAAAAAGTTATGACTTCTGAAAAACTCAGCACCATCTTAACTTGAAATAAGCAAAATTTGATGTGTGACGTTGATTATATTCTTAAATTTAAAAATAAAACACCTTATTCAATGGAGCCAAAGACTTACTATTTTTTGGCTTGAGAATATGAGGGAATAAAACAAAATGGCTCACTAAACTGTCTGCGCTTCATTTTTATGAAGCAGCAGTTAGTTCATGCAATTTTCGACGCGATTTTCGCCATGGGTCATCCGGAAACAGTCTCTCTGTGCTTTAGTACAAGGGTAAGACTGCGTACATCCGACCCTCCCTTACCCAACCGTAGGTGGGAGCCTTTGCGGCACTGGGGTAATGATGATGACATATATATCAATACATTAACTGAAAAAGGGCTCATTAAACTATCATTTATCTCAGCTACATACGAAACATTTAATTCAAGTATTGTATAATAATTATCGATCATTTTGATACTGTGTATAATTGAACTCCGATCCCCCTCACACACTTTTCTGGCCCCGCCCCTGGTTATGGACTATATTAGTTAATTCTGCACAAAGAAGGACTAGGGGGCGTTTGGATCTAATTCTTAAACTGCTTTTGCTCCTTCAGGGAGTAAAAGTAGAAGTGGAGTGTTTGAGTGAAAGTGTAGAAGTGATTCTGATGTTCTAGTTTATTCCTAGAATCAGTTTTTTTACAAGATGAGGGAGACCAGTTTCTGAAAACTGATTCTAATTCTGCTTCTACTTAAAAAAAGCAGAATCACTTCCAAACAAAACCTGAATCAGGTTTTTTTTTTCTTACACAAAAAAAAATCTGATCCAGGGTGTGTTTGGAACTGATTTTGCTTCTGCTTTTTTTCAAGCAGAAGCAAAAGCAGAATCAGTTTTCAGAAGCTGATACCCCCAGCTTCTAAAAAAATTGATTCTAAGAGTAAATTAGAGCACATAAATGCTTCTAAAATTTCAGGCAAATCACAACCAACCTCATTCCGTTAGCGAAGGCATATTCATGTTATATTGCGGCACCGGAGGTGAGGGAGCAGAGATCAGGCAGGGCCTAAGTTAACGGAGCGCCGTCCGTCACATTTTCCACCTTCCGCAGAACTCTCCCGAAGAACTCGGGATGCATCAACACCAACCAAAAACGACACTCTTCAGACTTCACACACCCAAGAAAAAAAAGCATCCTCCCCGAAAGATGATAGATTAATTAAAATTCAATGAAATTGTGATTTTCTTAGTTGTTCTTCTTTCCAAACAAACGTGCCTAGAGAGCTTCATGCCGTCGCATCATTTTGCCAGGTTGATTTCTCTGCATTTCCATTCACTTATTTTCAACTTTTTATATCTATTTCCTTATTTGCTTATAACAGAAATAACTATTATTACTAAGTAATCCGTATTATTTATTATTGTCATTGTCATTTTTAAGGCTTGGAAGTTGTTGTTATTGTATTATTGTCATTATTATTACTCCTATCTGGAGTTAAAAATTCAATCTTCGCAACAAGCAGGTTTTAACGTCCCTGCTCTTGATTTTGAAGTTTCGCTTGCTACCATACATAGAAATATGATTGTTCTTAACTTCTGCCTGCATTTTTGCCTTGCAACCATCTTTCTTAGGACATCAGCTAAATTTTGCATAGATTGTGATTTGATGTATCCTACATTCCTACTGAAAGTGTTAGGAATCTCATATTTAAAGATCAAAGAGAAACAAATTAGTTTATAAAGTTTTGAGTTATACTAGCTAATCTATTGAATTAATTTTATAGTGTAGTTTTTTCCATGTACATCCTGTCGGACCCAATTATGAATGCTATCATGGAATGAGAATAGGTCTGGTCACATCATGTATCCAGTTGTTCATCTAACTGTCCAACCCCAGTGCACAGTGGTCCTTCAGCAATGCTGCTGCGCTCTTCAATCTTTTAATATGATTTGCACTATTGTGCGGCTGAGTGACCCAAACCAATTATGATTTCCGTCTGTAACTTAGTAGCCATTTTGCTAATATTGTTGTTTGAATTTTAAGGAGATATTTGTCCACTTTGAAGCATTAGTTTTTCTGTTTTTGCTTCATTTGCATTAGAGATGAAATGTGAAGAAATGGGGAACACTTGGATTAAATCCGGGGGACTGCCTATTGCATGTGTTGGTTGCACTGTTGCAGAATATAATGAACTTTCTTATTAAAAGGTTTGCAAGTAGCTGAAAATTTGGTTTTCAAGTTAGATATGAAACTGGATTAAGTCATTGTTATGATTGCTTCTTTTTATCGGTTTTATTTACATCCACGTTCGTACATCATGTGGCATTTTCGTAGTTTCCTTGATGATTGCTTTTCTCTCTCTCTAAGTGATGGTCATTTTCTTTTGTTTTCCCGTGTTCCTTCTTTTTGTCTTTTATGTTCTTCTGATCAGTTTCTTCTTAAAAAAAGTTCATTTGTATATGATGATTGCTCATTTATATTTTAAAGCATGGTATAATGCTCTTTTGCATATTCTGGATGGACGATTGTCACGGCACATCTGAAAATAGGAGTCATTTTTCAGTCATTTTGCAGTGTTTTCTCTTTTCCATTTTTTTACTTACAATGATCAACAATATATGCATCCATTATTTCAGCTCTGAGAATGAAAAATTGTAGGTTGCCATCATGAATACTTTAACTGACTGCCTGATGAATGACTATGGTATGCACAACACTTCAAGTGCATCTCCAGGTGGTGACACTCAAGATTCCCCACCAATTAATCACAATGATCTTGAAGGTGAAAATCAATTTTTAATATGTATAGATTGGACAAAGCTTTGTTTTTTTATCACGCTTTCTTGCTATTGTAGTAAAAGAGAGAGAAAGTCTTGTGCAGTGGCTGAACAGTATCCTTCCGCATTTGAGGTTGTCTATAAAATCCTCAGAAGAGGAACTACGAGCAGTCTTGCTTGATGGTAGCGTATTGTGCCAATTAGTGGTTAAGTTGAAACCAGATTTGTTTTTGACCGAGGTAATCAATATGCTATGATTTTACTTGACATAAATGCATTAGGGCTATGTTGGATATTGAAAAAAAACAAGGGGAAAAATGTAAATAAATTATTTTAGTATGCTTGGCCTTACCATGGAAAATGCAAGGGAAAATGAAGTACTTCCTTCGTTCTTTAATATTTGCAACACTTTGAAATTTGTACTGTTAACACACCTTACTTTGACCATGATTTTCTACTAATATATATTATTAAGTTATTATATATAAAATCTTACTCCCTCCGTCCCATTTAAAGGTTCCTGTCCACTATTCTTCGTTCAACGTGAATTGTTCTTAATCTTTTACTTTATATATCCAACTTTTATCAAATTTAATTTTTTTGATCAGGTTTTATAAAACTTTTAATGTAGTATCTGAATATGTAAATTTTATTTACTAAAAACAATCTTATTAATGACAGGGATCAATTAACTTTATGGTCAGTCAAACATTGTAAACCGCGTGGGAACTTTTAAGTGGGAAGGAGGGAGTATTAAATTTCTCTTAATGTGAATTTCCAAAATATTAAATTTTTATAATGCTTTTTATTATGTAATATAATTACGGTCAAAGATGTTTGGTGACAAACGTGAAAGTCAAACTGTTGCAATTAAAAAAGAACGGAGGTAGTATAATAGTCCTTTTAAGCCTTTTGGCATCCCATGATATTTAAACGTTAAGTGTATGCTTGGTTCCCCAACATTACTATATCGAAAGGAAAATAGGGCTAAGAAAATTCTAATATGTTTCGTTTTACCTTGGAAAGTGAAAAGGTATAGAAAATGTGGTTAGTTATTTTTAATGTGTACATTTATTCAGATCTCATAGGATGTTTTTAATTGGACTGTAATTTTTTGGTCTGGTACCGGTCTGGTATGAACTGGTCTGATAGATGTATGTTCTATGTGTATTTTACAACCGTCAAAGTCTGGTCTGATCCGGTATGTTTAGTCTTTAAATAAGAGATAAATAAAATGAGTATCAACAAATATCTAAAAACATGTTTTTAGTCTTTTAGCCTATCTTTTGTTTTCCCCACATTTTCTTTCTTTCCATATTTCCCTAATATATTCTAGGGTCTAAACCGACCCTAAGAGTATGTTTATCACCAAAAAGGACTGGGAAATGAAAAAATGCTAAAAGGGAAATAATGTTATTATGATTGGCTTTAGCTTGAAAATGCATAGAAAAATGAAGTATGATGTTTTTTTCTATATATAATAAAAATCTTTGTATAATACATATACGACTATACGTAAATTGACTTTGTACAAATGTCTAAAATGAATTTATTGAGTTTGAGCTTATCTTATATTTTGTCCCAAATATTCTTTCCTTTCTATTTAGTTCTATTTGCTCCACATTATCTCCCCCTTGAATTTTCCATGTTCCAAAAGACCCTGAGAGTTTATCCTAATGGTGGTTTACTCTAGGCAGGAAATTCTATTAATTCTTCGGGTTCGTGCTCAGAACATGTTAGAAGATTTTTATCAGCCATGGAGAAATTGGGCTTACCCCGGTTTGAGGCATCAGACTTAGAAAATGTATGTAGCCCTACGAGTAATACAAGCTTAGCCATGTATTATTGGTCGGTATAGGAACTGAACTCTAAACTCCCATTCTATTACGGAAAAATTTTCCAGGGCTCCATGAAAGCTGTGTTTCATTGCCTTATAGCACTTCAAACACAATTTAGGGAACAAGATGGGGAATCCGATGCATCTGGAAATGTTATTACAACAAGAAGATGGAAGTCGATGATAGAACATTATGGAGGTGATGATGATCAAAGGGAAGAATCTTTCAGACTCCGTCCTTTTTCATCTTTTGGAGAAGAGAGATGGAAATTAGAGTCAAAATCGCAACGAGCATTGCGTAGTCCTGTGATGGCAGGTTACAACCTCATAACTTCCAAAGATTATTACACTACTTATATAGTGCTATTATGAGCTTAAACCCTTATAGGAATGAAAAACCTTATCGTTCCTCACCCTAGAATTTCAATACTTTTATATTTTAACGTTAACCTAATAAACCTACTTTGCTCACAACATATTCTTTGATGCTCCGATTCCATTGAAGTTCTAATTAGACTTTTTTTAACTAAAAAACTTGTAAAGCCATCTTCCTATATTACATGCATCGGCGTGGTTGATCTCATAATTCTCCTTCACTTTCCATCATATTTCACAAAAAAATTGTATCAGACTACATATATTGAGAACTAAACTAACTCTCATTTTTCATTATTTGCACGGAGTGTTCTTTTTAATTGCAAAGTATCTCCTTACCCAAATTAGAAACTATGAAGTATTTTTCTTCTTTATTTATCCATTCTTCTTAGTCACTTCATTGTCTTATTTTTAAAAACTTTCTTAAAAGAATCAGCTGCACTGATACATCACATTGGCCACAAGTTCCATGAAGTATTTGAGCTTAAACAAGGAAGTTATGCTGATCTCCCCGCATCAAAGATTTCAGAAATGATGAAGTCAAACAGTTTGGATGTATGCTTGATGAACATTTATCCATTGGACTTTATTTGATAAGTAAATTGCTTTAAGGCTCACATATTCCTTTTACCATTGATTGATTAGCTCAACGTGTTAATCTCTTCTGTGCAGAATGCCCCAACACAGTCACTTTTAACGGTTGTGAATGGAATCATAGATGAATGCATTGCACGCAAAAATGGAGAAATACCTCAAGTATGCACTCTGGACATACACTTCTCGCATCCCAGCTTTTAATTGTGTTAACCCTACATCTGACCTGTCATCATCATCATTTACCCCAGTGCCGCAAAGGCTCCCACCTACGGTGGGGTAAGGGGGGGTCGGATGTACGCAGTCTTACCCCTGTACTGAAGCACAGAGACTGTTTCCGGATGACCCAAAGTGAAAATCGCGTCCAAAAATGCATGGACTGACTGCTGCTTCATAACAAAGAAGCGCAGACAGTTTAGTGAGTCATTTTGCTTTATTCCATCATACTCTCAAGCGAAAAAATAGTGAATCTTTGGCTCCATTGCAAATGATGGAAAATAACCCTACATCTGACCTGTAACTAAGGAAAAAATATCATGCCCATGGGCTATGCTTAAGAGTTGGGTTTTAAAGTGGATTGGAGAGGGAGGCCTTACTTTTTATTTTTAAATTATGAGAATTCTACATGGTTTATAATAATAAGAAAATGACAAGTTTATACTAATTGATCATTTTTACTTCTAAAATCTTGAAGATTATAAATTTAAAGCAATCTTCCTTTCAATGAAAATATAACCATTTCCTTCCAAAACTGAACTCCCAAACATAGCCTTAGGGTATGTTTGGATGGAGTGTTTTGCAGAGGTTTGGAGGGCTTAGTCTATATCTTAATAATTTGAATGTTTCTAATAATGAATAAAAAATGATTGGATTGTTATACTATCACATATAATGCTAATCTTTCAATTTCATGAAATATAAAAAATATATATCATGACTAAGCCTTCACCTCCGAACATCCAAAACCCTCCCTCCGGACAGATCCTTGAATTCGCTCCAACCTAGGTTATTAGAATGTGATGGTATAAAGAACTTTTTATGTGGTTAAGGTCAAATGTGTGGTTAAGTGTGGTGCAGGCAAGGGAATAATTGACTTTTAACACACATTTAGTTGTTTTGCTCCGCTTAGCGTGTAGCATGCCTGTTGAGAAAAGTAGTGCAAGAGATAGAGAGGCGGATATCAACACAAGCAGAGCACCTGAGAATGGTATATATGCTGCAGCAGTTTGGCCCTAACTGCCGAGCTTAAACAAATTCTGACAATGTATTTTATTCTATTTTGAAGCAAAACAACCTCTTCAAAGCTCGGGAAGAGAAGTATCAATCGAGAATTAGAGTTCTAGAAGCTCTTGCAACTGGTACAAGTGAAGAGACACAGGTATGCATTGCTTTTATTGGCACTATCGTGTTTCAGAGCCATAAGAATCTCTCCCTATCTTCCCATTATTCCTTGCTTTACATTATGGTATTTTTTTTCTTTTGAAGATTGTCATGAACCAACTCCAACAACTTAAGGTATGATTTTTTAATTTCTGCATTTTATTTTAATTTATTCCATGAAAACGTCATTTTTTCTCTTTGTCGTTCAAAAGACATGCATGCATTATGTGTGGGATTTTTTATTTGCATTCGTGTTTAATCAAAGATCTTTGGTAAACATTTATTCCCTCCTTTTTAAGTGTTATTTTTACGTGTTTGCACACATACTATGAAAGCATTATTTTTTAGAGTCGAGATAAAAGTAGCATAGTATGATGAGAATGCCCCTACTAATGTTTCAGAGTGCGCATTTACGGATGGAGAGTGATAATTAAAAGTGACAATTAAAAGTGAACCATAGTTTTGAAAGGCATCTTTTAGGCGCGCCTCAGTGTGAGCCTGTAAAAAACACATTGAGGCCAAAGCCTAGGGTAGTTGGATTGAGGCTTGCGTCTCAGATGGACTGAGGCTTACGCACCATACGCCTCAAGGCATTTTCTGGGAGGTTAAGCCTCATAGTTTTCTTTTATAACTTTTGAGTTCATCTCAGGCTTATTGTTTATAAATGACATTCATATTGGGCCTTATGCCTCTCAGCTCTATGTTTAAGACTAAATTTTGTTTTCTGGCATTGGCTTATGGAATTTTATATGTTTAGTGTCGCGAATATATCTTGTATGACGCTTACAGCTCATACCTCCTTAAGGTGTATGCCTTGAGCAGTTGAGCCCCCTAGAAGCTTAGGGCCCGTTTGGTAACGGCTGCAATGGCTGAAACTGCTGAAAAGACTGAATCTGCTGAAGTTAAAGTGTTTGGTAATATGCTGGCTGGAATGGCTGATTGAATGTAAAATTACCATAAAGGATATAATTTCTTGATGTTTTCAATACATTAGATTACAATACACCCCTTACTCTCTAAACCCTTATTAGGCCACAAAATACCCCACACCTTTATACAAGTTTTTAAAACACGGCAAAGTATTTAAAATACTTAAAAGTATTTAGAATTCAAAATTTTAAATTGGAAGAAAATAGAGTTACTAGTGAGTTATAAAAACCATAATAAACTGAAAATAAAGCAACCCTATAATTTTAACGTCACATAAAAAAACAAGACGTGCAGCAACTTATTAGACCAGGCTTCATGAGATAAGGTATTGGGAAATTATGAAAGTTCACAAAGAACTAAATCTACACTTCTGGAGCATTAGAACGAGGATAAATACATATTTCAATAGCTTAAGGCTACTTTTTGAGCTGATAATAAAATTCAGCCAAATCAGCCCATTAAGAGGCTGTTTGGTGATTTTTATGCATATTCAGGCTTATAAGCTGATTTCCAGTCCTCCAAACGGGCACTTAAAAAGACATTTTCATACCTTGAAGAGAACGGAGGGAATAATTGTTTGTGACAAAAAAAAGAGTATTTTTATGTTTATTTCACATGTTATATGATTAATGTGTGTACTATTTACCTACTCAAGTACTCAACGTAACATTATTACTGTTTATTTCGAATGAAACATAACTCAATTGTTATATATATATCGTCAATATAATCACCTCATTAATCCCAACTCAGTGTAACGTCTAGACATTTTTATTTTTCTTAAATAGTAATAGTGGTAGGTTTTGTTTCCCTGTTTCTTTTATTCAAATTAGAGTGAAAGGACAAAGATGGAGGTGAAAAAGAAAACCGAGGAACATGACATGACTAGATTGATGAAAGGAAAAGATGATAGTGTCCAGGAGATCACAGCTTTGAAGCAAAATCTTGAAATCGCTAGAGAAACATATGAATTTGACACCAGAATATCTCAACAAGAGATTTCAAATTTGAAGCAAGAACTTGAAACAGCTCGGGAAGCCTATAAAGATTGCTTCTCACAACTGGAAAGTAACAACAGAAATTCTCAACAAGAGATTTCATCTTTGAAACAAGAACTTGAAACCACGCGTAAAGGATCTGAACAAGAGATTGAAACATTGAAGAAAGAAATTGAAACTATTTGTAAAACTTATGACCAACGTTTCTCAGAAATGGAGAAAGAGGCTAAAGGATCTCAAACAGAGATGGAGGAGAAATTGAAGGAATCCACGAGGCATTTAACAGAAACAAGGAATAGGTTGAAGGAATGTGAAATGCTTTCTGAAACGAGGTCTTTGCAGTGGAAAAAGAAACAGAACATCTATGAAATATTCACTGAATTCCAGCTTGGTGCACTACGTGTAAGATCTGAAAAAACTTCTATGTTTCTATATTGGGTTAATTACATCATTCTTGTAGAGGTTTTGTTATGATTCTGAAATTTACATACAAAATATGGCAGAGTACAATGATATTTTTTAGAGTTCTTGAAATAGAGACTAGTGTTTACATACAATTAATTAAAATTTTCAAAGCTTTTTCCTTGAAAAAATCCTGCAAAGTTGTATTAGCATAAAGTTCCTACTAATATTATCATTATAGCATTTCATCTTTCAGTGTCGTTCGAATGAGCAAGGGGTTTATCTGTATTTTTCAGATGCCTCGAGGATCATTTGGTAATTTGACCAATCCTCTGGGGAGGTAGATGTAATTAACCCTCCTATATTTGATGCTTTCAAATCATCAAATGTGTCTATCATTTTCACCTCAGGTGAGTTAATAATTTCAGGAGCTAAAATTTTCATCCCATTCGATAAGGCATGAAGTTATCAAAACACAGAAGGTCTACACAGATGAATTCAAATGCTTAGGTGAAGTTTGCTCTTAGCACTTTTACTAGAAGTGTTTTCTTATTTAAAGGTGTTTTTTTCTTCTTTCAAAAGCACTGTAAACCAGTGTGTTCTTTAATGGCACATGTGCCTTTTTAAAGAATCAAGGAAGAAGGGTCAAATAAGGCTTTCTACAATTGTGAAACCATCATATAAGCCCATGTACTAAAAAATGACCACATAGATGCATTTACTGCTTAAAACACATCACCTAGGCTCCCTGACCGGAAATCAACCTGCTATAGGCCTATAGCAGATTTTTTGATATTTGGAAAAAGGGTCAAATAAGCCCTTCTACAATTGTGAAACCATTATCTAAGCCCATATACTAAAAAAACGAGCACATAGATGCATTTGCTGCTTAAAACACATCACATAGGCCCCCTGACCGAAAATCAATCTGCCATAGCAGTTTTTTTTGATATTTTTTATGTTTTTTTTGTCTTTTCTTCTTTTCCTCTTCTCTTATTGCACCCTTTAGCGATTCCAATGTTTTTTTTTAATTTTTCTCCTTTCTTTTTTGAGTTTTTTCTTGATCTTTGAAAAATAAATGGGATTGTAACTAAATATTCTTTTATATTTGGAGAATCACACTTTTAGTCCCTACGTATTATTTATATTGTAATTTAATTTCCAGTTTTTTGAGTTTTAATAAGTGTGTTTTTGTCGTTAAATTTGAACGAACACCGTTAATTTTTAAGTTTGTAACTTTGACGCAGTTACATTTGTTAAAAAATTACACTTTTATACATATTTTCAAAATTATTTGCATCTAAAGTTTTTGTCTCTAAAATTAGTCCATAGACAAAAAATGTCAGTTGAAAAAATTCAATTTTATAGAAAATAAATATCGGTCGGAAAATCTAATTCAAAGACAATAAATGTCTGGGAGAGACACAAAATTGTGACAAGGCAAAAAATGTATTTTTTACAAATTTTCAATTTTTCGCATCAAAGGAATCTATAGATTTAGACTACTAATAAATAATGTTGATCGAAGAAATATGATGTTATAAACAATAAATGTCTGGTCCAAACAAAAAAAAATTCATACAGGGTAAAAAACTACTACCTCCGTCCCCCTAAGTTTGGGACAAGAGAAGGTGGCACGTTTATTAATTAAAGTGGGTTTATGTGGTTGATATTGAATTGATAAAGTAAGAATAAAGTAGGAACAATTTAGAACCACACAAACTTTACCGAATAAGGTATGAGACAATCTTAGTGGGACGGACCGAAATGGTAAAATGAGACAATCATAGCGGGACGGAGGGAGTATATTTTATTTATCCATTTTTTCAGAAAATTGTACTGATAATTTTTATTTATAGAAGTGTATCATTTTTTACCAAATGTAACTGTGTCAAAGTTACAACATCAAAAATAAATGGTATTCGTTCAAATTTAACAGCGGAAATCACATTTATAAAAATTCGTAAAACTGGGGATGGTATTTATGAGTAAAAGGTTAAATAAATGGAAATTAAATTTCAATATAAATAATAAATTAGGGACTAAAAGCGTGATTCTACAAATATAAAATAATATTTAATAAAATCCCCATTATTTTCAAAAATCGAGAAAAAAGAAAGGAGAAAGAATAAAAAAACAAAACATTGGGATAGCTAAAGGGTGAAACAAGAAAAGAGGAAAACAAGAAAAGGAAAAAAAACCTTAAAAATGTCAAAAACCTGCTATAGCAGGTTGATTTCTGGTCAGGGGGCCTATTTGACCTTTTCCCAAGAATTAAAAAAACTTTTTACATTTCCTTATAAAACACTTCTTTTTAAAGTAAAATTACCTGTATTCCTACGAAAAGCATTTATTCTATGAAGATAAGTCATCCTAAATGCACTCTTAACCTTTTCCGTTGAAATCATTTTAATATTATTATTATTATTCAGTGTTTTTGAAATGCATCTCTTATATAATATAGGTGTGAAGACCAGAGCGTTGGAAGATGCAGCTGCAAACTATCATGTAGTTCTTGCTGAAAACAAAAAGCTACATAATGAAGTCCAAGAATTAAAAGGTGAATATTAAAAAATATGTACCTCATATATCTTTTTGTAATTTATTAGAATTAGAATATATATATATATATATATAATCTTTATTTTGTCTTCTCATAGTTCTTTTATGATTATTAGGAAATATAAGAGTATATTGCCGGGTAAGGCCATTTCTTCCTGGACAAATGGACAGGCAGACAATTGTTAATTATATTGGTGAAAATGGGGAGCTAATTGTCACGAATCCTTCAAAACAAGGAAGGGAAGGGCGTCGTTCATTCAAGTTTAATAAGGTTTATGCTCCTGCTGCCACACAAGGTTTAAAAATTATTTTAACCTTTATCTGTTTTTTCTTTTGCTTTTGTGCACTTTTGGTCTTGTAGCTATAGCAGGCTGGAAAGATTAGTCCCATTGAAACTGTATATGACAATTTAGACCCGTTACTTTCAAAATGTCGAGAATTGGCATTTTTTAATGAAACTGCCATAGCTTTACTTCCAACCCTGCCATAGCTTTACTTCCAACTCAGTGGACCCTCAATCTGAACCATGTTCTTTTTTTAATTTTTCTAGATCTCAGTGGCCTCGGGAACAAACTCTCGACATTTTGAAAGTAATGGGCCTAAATTGCCAAGAAACAAATTCTTAAAAGGAATTCTTAATAAGACTTAGGAGGCTAAAATGCATTTTGAGCTGTTTTTAATAAAAACTATTCTCTTCGTGCTCATATTCTGCAGTATAACCATTGGTATGTAATACTTGTTCAAATATTTTCAGCTCAAGTGTTTTCAGATATACAGCCATTGATCCGATCAGTTTTGGATGGTTATAGTGTTTGCATATTTGCATATGGCCAAACAGGCTCAGGAAAAACTTACACAATGGTAACAGCATTTCTTTTTCCAATAAAAAAACTATATCCTGCATTTGCTATTGTTTCTTATGTGTGGATTAATATTACTCCCTGCCAGACGGGCCCTGATAGAGCTAGTGAAGAGGAATGGGGTGTCAACTACCGGGCTTTAAATGACCTCTTTCAGATTTCCCAAAAGAGAGTGAACGCCACTGCATATGAAATCTCAGTTCAAATGGTAGAAATATATAATGAACAAATCCGTGACTTGCTCTCGAACGACAACTCTCACAAAAAATATCCTTCAAAATCAGATCACACATATTCCATGTTTATATAATTACTTTAGATGATATTCTACATATTTGTGATGTGAAGCAGAAAAGAGTGCATTTGGGATTACTTATTTTCAATGAATAAGTACTTTTATGGGAAATAACATTACTTAAAAAAATGAGTCGGGCAGGAAATGAAAGAAAATATCTTTTACTTATAAACAACTCTTTGTGCTTATCTAGTAAAGAACCATATTGCATCTTTTTGAAGAAAAATAGGCGCTTTTAGTCCTTAAATGAGAACACTTCTTATAAAAAGATGTAGCAAAAGCCATCCCAAAAGACTCCAATATTGTTAGCATTGTTTGTAATACTTAAAGATATTGCCATTAGGTGGTTTCATATTAGATATCCTTAAACATTATACCACAATTATGCTGTGTTTTTAACATTTCCATAGTTGATATTCCACATACTTCCGTGAGAGCATCCATTGCAACCAGTAATAATTTTATCTATATTTGTAACTTCTTACGTGTCAATTGAAAAAGATTACTCCATCTTTCCCGGAAAAAGAAATGTTTCATCAAAGCACAGCTTTTTAACTGGCAAGAGTAGGCATAACTTTGGTAATCATCCACTGTGCTTCTGTTTTTGACTTTTTATGATCGTAAAACTATGTTTAGCATACTTTACTCATTTGGAACACTTTTTAGAAGTATTGGATTAACATCAATATATATAGCTTCTCTTGTTGAAATATGACTCCTTTTTTGGGAAGAAAGGGGTTGCAACAGTATTATATTTTGGGACAGAGGGAGTACAAATTTTGCTAAAAAGTTTTGCAGTCTCATATAAGTTTTTGTGCTGCTCCAGACTTTCTCAACCTTTGTTGCAATTTTATTACAAGTCAAATTGCAATATTGAATTCCTTAATATGCACACTCTGGCGGTTTTGCCAACAACCCAACCAAATGGTTTAACTGTGCCCGATGCTAGCATGTATCAAGTTAACTCGACTGCAGATGTGTTGGACCTAATGAATATTGGATTGAAGAACAGATCGCGAAGTTCAACTGCCCTAAATGAAAGAAGCAGCCGATCACATAGGTTGAGTCTCTGATGTCATCTTTAGGGTCCGTTTGGAACTTTGATAATGCGAGACAAACATAAAGGAAAGTTGGGAGGATAAATAAAATTTGGAAGACAGTAAAAACATGTCTAAAAATAAAAATATTAATTTTAGATATTTGCTCAGATTCCTTTTATTTATTCATGTTTATGTAAACAAATGTATAAAAAGTAATCATTTTTTTACACTTATAGTTTCTAATATAAAACCAAACATAAGAAAATGACTTTGCTTAGCATTTTTTCTCTTCCCGGCAATTTCCAGGACAAAAATATATACCATTAACATCTGAAATTATTTACATATTTGAAGTCCTAATTGAACAAATACTTGTAATAAACGCAGTGTGGTGACAATTCATGTGTGTGGGACGGATATTAAGAGCGGATCGTCTATGCGAAGCAGTCTTCATTTGGTGGATCTAGCAGGAAGTGAGAGAGTAGATCGCTCTGAGGTAAAAGGTGACAGGTTAAAGGAGGCACAACACATAAACAAGTCTTTAGCTGCGCTTGGAGATGTCATTTCTGCTTTGGCTCAAAAGAGCCCTCATATTCCATACCGAAACAGCAAGCTTACCCAAGTTCTTCAAAGCTCATTAGGTATACTGTGTTTTTATCTTTTTCTGTGATAATCTCTCTTTTTTTTTGTAAATGAGAACACATTTGGATATTTCATCATCATAATCTGAATCGCAATCCAAAATGATCCTCGCTGGTGTTCACATTTCTCAGAAATTACCAGAGGCAACCCTAATTGTAAGAAATGTCTATATACAGGGGTCATTTTGAGATTTACCCCAAACCTGAGGGTACCTCAAGAAACTTCGCTCCTTAAACCATAAATATAGGGCATGTTTGAATAACAGGAAATATAAAAGAGAGAACATACCGGGCTCTTGTACCAGAAATTAGGAATTAAAGGATTTTCCAAATTTTGCATCTACCATCAACTATGAAACTTATACTTCTCTGTTGTGCACAGGGGGCCAAGCAAAGACCCTTATGTTTGTGCAGCTTAATCCTGACCTTAGTTCATATTCTGAGTCTGTTAGTACTTTAAAATTTGCTGAGAGAGTATCCGGGGTAGAGCTAGGTGCAGCCAAGAGTAGCAAAGATGTCAAAGACGTCAAGGAGTTGATGGAACAGGTACTCTTTTAACTGTAACACTATATATATTTCACTCTTTGGAACATTGAACATTTCATCCTTGAGAGTAATTATGTAATTCACTATGATCCAAAGTAGGAATTCAAATCATTACGGATGTGATAGAGACCTGGGCCGTAGGGACAAAAGGACTAATAATAATAATTATAATAATAATAATAAGAATAATAATAATAATATTGAAGAGTAGTATTAGGATACATTAGAAGAAGCAAGGGGAATGTAAATGAATTGATGAGGTGGCAAACTCATGCTATACATTAGAAGAAGGTATACATAGTATAAGTATGAGCCGAATAGTGAATGAAATGGAGCCTAGAGTTCAGTTGGGATTGGGCTTGGGAGAGAGAGATGCTCTTGAAATTATCTCTATTTTCTTTGTAGTTTGTACACTGATTTACTGATTCCGCCATTGCATTTCTTTAAGGAATTCTGAGATCTTTTCTTAATTCCATACTTAATATACATAAATTCTCCTATTGCGTGTCTGGTTCCTATCATTGGTACCAAATGATAGGAACCTGACACACAATAGAGAATTTATGTTGTAGTATATTAAGTATGGAATTCAGAAAAGATCTCAGAATTCCTTAAGCAAATACAATGGCAGAATTCAGATTCTCTCTCTCCCAAGCCAAAACCTAGCTGAATTTCAGCCTCCCTTTCATTCATCACTCAGCTCATACTTATACTACTTTTTAATACTACGTATTATTTTAATACTACGTATTATTATAAGTCCTTGTGTCCTTGTGCCCGAGTCTCTATCATCACTCCCCCCTTGAACTTCTACCTTGTCCTCAAAAGGTGGATAGTAAGAAGCTGTTCTGGCATTTGGTTTCATAAAGGTTTCCGCTACATCCAGTTCAGACTGCTGATCATCTGGTCCTTTCTCCTCTTCTAGATTTTCCATAAGGACAACTTGATAATGTTTCATTCCACAAAGATGTTCCTTACTCCATTTTTCTCCACATTAGAAGCATGATAGAACACTGGTAGAGATCTAAGCAATTCAGCAACAATTCTATAGAAATCTAGCTATAGAACAGATCGAAAATGATATTATTGCAATAGGAAAGGACCAAAGTGGGTATACAAGCACTGGGACTGTTCGAGAAGCCCACTCTCCAAGCCAACCATCAACTGAATAACAGCCTGCCTTATTTAGTTAACCTTCTTCTATTTATAGTAATAGTCCACGCAGGGACAAAACAGAAAGAACTAATTAGCTAGTTAATAACAAACCCCTTATTTCTCCTCTTATAGACCTTATTAAAATACTGAATAGGCTGCTGCACCATATGCCTAACATTACTCCCCCCCTGAAAATTTACCTTGTCCCCAAGGTGAAAATCTGGGAAATGTTCTGTCAATGACTGCAGTGATTCCCAAGAGTCTTCAAACCCTGGTAAATCCTTCCAATGTACCAGCACTTCCATCTTCCCATCCTTATTCACACTGGAGTCTAGAACTTCTTCAGGTATCACTTGTAATTCCCATTCTTCATTAAGACACTTGGGTAGGGGCTGGAAATTAGTTGTAGGTGATATAGCCTTCTTCAACAGTGAAATGTGAAACACTGTCCCTCCCTCTTCTTTCCAGCCCCCTTTTCTTCTTCCTTATGTATCCTTGATCTCATAGCAGTGTTCTTTTCCTCTAACAATAAGCTCTATCCATCATTTCTGTTAGTGATCCATGATAATAGAGTTTCAGTTCCGCCCTATCCGTGTTCCTCATAGGTGCCACAACCAGCTCGAATTGCTCCCTGTAGTGCATCACACTCCCTGTCTGCTTCATGCTCAACATAGGCCCATAGGGATTTTGTACGAGCTTCGGTAGAAATCTCCTCATTAACGCTTCCTTGAAGTGTTCCCAACTACGATCCTGGGTTTGTCCTTCCCACCATTGGTACCAATTAAGTGCTCGTTTCTCCATCGTGATCACTACTACCTCCACTTTCTCGTCTTCCTCCACGTGATTTAGTTTGAAAAAACGTTCTTCACGAACGATCCATCCATATGCCTCGACTCCATTGAATATCGGTAAATCAACTTTTCGCCTAGTCCTTATACGATTATTGATCCTAGTATCCTCATGATGGACTGAAGCAGACAGGGATTCATTGGAATTACCTCTAGAACGAGATGCAATCTCACTCCCCGATGGTTGACGATGGCGCGTAGTACCCGATCGTCCTCTGGTCCTGTGCTCGTTGTGAAGCACAACATTCTGCAGTTCCTCCAACATCGTTCGCGTCTCTATCATCAATCGCTCCATATCATCCATACGGTTCTCCATGTTTGATCGGGTTACAACCATCAACAGGCCAAAAGATCGATGATCTGATACCAATGTTAGGAACCAGATATGGGAATGGAAAATAGACGTAGATTGATACTAAAGTACTGAAACGGAAAATACAATTGAGACTCTTCGAGAGGCCTTACTCTCCTAGTTTCCAGCCCAATCCCAAGTTCTGCCTTCTTCCTTTTATAATACTCTCGTAATGGGCCAGCTTTCATCCACTAAGTTACTGGCCCTAAAACCCTCTTATTGTACAATATTAAACTACTTAATATTATTCTTATTAGGTGTGTCCGGGTGCCTATCAGAGTATCAGGTTGCCACCTCATCAATTTATATACATTCCCCTAACTTCTTCTATTGTATCCTACTATCCTTATACTACTCTTTAGTATTATTAATTTATTATTATAAGTCCTTTTGTCCCTACGGCCTGAGTGTCTATCAGGATGTAATTTAAAAAGCATAAGTTTCATCTGGCTGAAAGGAGATATACATCGCTCAGAAATGTTAAAGACACATATGGGTTTGTAAGATCCTGATTGGATCCAATCTTCTAATGCGTTTGGCCCATGAGTATTATGGCGGGCCATCTGAGAAACACGATCTAATTTTGAATTATATTATGGGCCATCCGGAAACAGTCTCTCTCTGTTATAGTATAGGGCCATAGGGGTAAGACTGCGTACATCCGACCTTACCCCGAGCCTTTGCAGCACTGGGGTAATGATATGATGATGATGATTATGGCATTAAACCATTCTGGCAGTCCTTGTTATGACTCAGAGCCCAACATTATTAGCTTTGTTTTTATAATACTTAGACCAATAATTTGTGGTTTATGCATTTAAGCGGCTAAATGCTTCATCTTCTCAATCTATTTCATTATGCAGATTGCATCTCTCAAAGATGCACTATCTAAAAGAGATGAGGAGATGGACAAATGGCGTCTTGGGAAAGATATCAAGAATGTGATGCTGGGAAGCAATGGAGAAAAACGTAGTGTGAACTCATTGAGGTATTCACTCCCAAAATAACATTTATCAGTTAAATCTAATTAACAATATAATTTGGAAAAGTTTGACATTGCACCCTATGATTCGAGTCCTTAGGTAATTCATCCCTTGATCTATTTCTTTTATAAAGCACTCCAAAGTTGGTGTATAGTCAAATATTAAGGTAAATGAATGGGGTGGAAAGTCTAACAGAAAGGACCCGTTTTGGGGTGTATCATCAAAGGATTAAAAACATGATGGGAAAAGTCAAATATTGGGGTAAACCATTAGGCGCAAAATGAGAATTTTCCTTAACACATGTTTGTTCTCTCTTTAGGTTTGTTTGGGACTTGGATATATACTATGGAAAGAAAATAGGGAGTAGATTTGAAGGCAAGAAAATTTGGAAAGTAATGAATGATACACGCAAACTCCAGAAATTTGAAGGCAAGAAAAATTGGAAAGTAAATGATACATGCAAACTCAAGAAATTTGTTTTTGATATATCTTCAGACTCATTTTCCAAATCCAAATATAAATACAAACATAAGCAAATAGCAAATAACTCCATTTAGGGGGGGGGGGGGGGGTTGGATCTGATTCTTAAAACTGCTTCTGCTCTTTCAGAAAGCAGAAGCAGCAGAAGTTGGAGTGTTTGGGTGAAAGTGCAGAAGTGATTCTGGTGCTCTAATTTACTCCTAGAATCAGTTTTTTTGAAGCCAGGGAAGACCAGCTTCTGAAAATTGTTGCCGATTCTGCTTCTGCTTTAAAAAAGAAGCTGAAGCAGAATCAGTTCCAAACACCCCCTTAGCATATGTTTCCTTTCCCTAGCATCTTGTGACATGTCCTTACTATATCTTTCTTCCAATCTGTTTGTCATGTATGTTTTCTATTGGAAGCAAGTTTATATAGTACCAATCTGTTTATTGTTTTCTCCATGCCATCATATTTCCTCTTTGCAGACACTAAAGAATAAGGCACTGAGTACATTCAACCAAATGAACGCATGGCTAAAATAAGACGAGACACAATTTATACCATCAAAAATTCAAGATCATCACTTGAAGATTACCAAGGGATTCAAATCCTTAAATGCATCACTCAACTGGTATGGAACTATTGTTCCTTCTAGTTTCTTGATCTGAATCGTATGCAAAAGTAATGCTATATCTGCAAAATATTTCATTCGGCGCTTCTAATCAGATTCAATCAGGCTAACTTTGATCGGTTTTTCGCCAATAGCAAATCCATATTTTTTGCTCAATTGTGGCAAGTATTAATTGAAACTGCTAGATCATTTCGCCAAAAGCAAATCCATATTTTTCGCTCAATTATTCGTTCATTTCTAATGCCGAGAAAGTTAGTTCATAGCATCTACCTTTGAAAGAAATCGAAGATATAATGATTGAAATCATTATTTGATACTAACAGAGCAAAAAAATGAACCTTTGAAGTTGAAGTGATGCAATGACAAAACTGGCCTGATCTCATGCACCTGAAGTGCTCATGCTATATTATAATGGTTTTTTGGGTCTGATCATACAAGTTAAAGGTGTTGTATTATGATTTTGGAATTTTTGATTTTTCGTGTGTATGATGTTTGGGATATTATCTATTGTGGATGCATGTATAAGCACGCACACACACACATGTATATAGATACATACATACACAGTCACACACGCACACACATATACATATGTAAGCATATATTGATTTCTGTATTCAAGAAATCTTAGCAGCACAAAAGGTGCCAAAGCATGAACTCGATCCCAGTCCAAAAATTCCCTTGGGCTAGTTTGTTATTTATTTTAGTTTTCTTTTCTGTAATGTTCTTATTTCCCTTCCCGAATTGTACTCATATTTTTTTCAATTAAATTTCCTTTTATATAAAAAAATGTAAGCATATATTGAATATCTATACATACATATGGGGAGGCTCTAATGAGAACCCCTTACAATGAAAACTTCTTATGATGAGAGCTTATAATCTCAACCTTTCATCCTATTCAATCATTAGCTAGCATGCATGTGGTGCCTTTTTTGTAATCATGCAAAACTCAAACAGGCTCCTGTTTGTGTGTGCGTGCGCACATTGTCTTTATATATAGGAGAAAATAATTAAAATAACCTGAACTTTAGGTATGTGTGATATCACCACCCTAAACTTGTTTGTGTTAATATTGTATCCCCTTCTTTGACTGATATGAGAAACTAGTACCCTACCTTTTGATGTAGGCATCTGACTAGAAATAATTCGCCACCTACCAAGTTGAAAGTCGTAGCTATGACGGTGGAGATGACCCAAACAGCTTCACTGTGATAAATTATTGTTCTCTTAAGTTCACTTTGAGGTTCTTCTTTATCTTTCTTCTTATTTTTCATCCATGACGGAGCCCTGCGTGAATTCTTCTCTTCTCTAACCTCCTCCCCTTAGCTTGCTTCTCCTCAAACTCTGTAATTCCTTCCTCTTCCTCCACTCCTCCCCCGTCTCCACCCGCAGGAAGATGTCCTTCCCAATCTCGGATTCGACGCTGTCTCCGGGCGGGACTCTCCGGCGGCATGTCTTGCTTAACGCTTGGCAAAAATGCAGCTATAGAAGCAGACCCGGCACCGGCAAGATTCATGGGATTGTTTCCCACCCAAATCTCCCTCCCAATGAAATACCATATTCAATTTGATTTCCGCCACCTGTTTCCCCTTATAACTCCGCCTGTTACTCTGGCTTCCATGAACATCTGCAACAAATCCCTTGATGAGTAAGGTGAATTTGAAGAAACATTCTACATTTGCAACTCCACTGTTTCTCCTTATCTCTTCACAATATGCCATTAATTTGACCTTACATGTCGCACAACTTAAGCAGACCCAGATGCATAAATGTCTTATTTATATGTAATTTACCTTCAGTTCGGCTCTAGGAATTAATCTGTATGTTACATCCGGCTTCAAATCAGTTCCATGGTAATTCTAAAATAACATAAGCAGGTGAAGTGAAATTTCAATCGAAAGAAACGGCGGCGGCGTTTAGATTCCAGAGAAATGGTTAGCTAATGTAGAAGAGAAGAAACATTGTAAATGCTTCATAGATGTAGTTATATGCCATGTGGATATGGATAAGCCGAGATTAAGTACCTTTAATTAGTCAAAGGTGTTGGTTTCTCATATAGTCATATGAACTAAAGAATAGGGTATTTAAGTAACACATACGAGTTCGGGGTAGACACATCACATATACCTAAAGTTCAGGGTATTTTAATTATTTTCTCCTTATATAAATATAGGACTATTAAATATATATATATATATATATATATATATATATATATATATATATATATATATATATATAGGACTAATCAGGTCAGGTGCGCCTGATTGATAGTCTCGCCCGGCCAAGCAAGTTTGAGGGGAGTTCGGACGGCGGCTTCCGTCCCTCCGGCTGGACCTGAGCAGTCCTATATATATATATATATATATATATATATTGGTGTAGTATTTTTCAATTATTTATTCAACTGACTTCCCGATCAAACTATGACCTGAAATTGTGGACACAACCTATACTTCATGAAGAACATGCTCACCAAATTTCATCAAGAAACTCCACAGGAAACCGGCTCAAATGGTGGCGGTCGAGCTGTGGTTCCGATCAGGACGTCCTGATCGGAGGATTACTCTACATATATACTTTAAACTCAGTAGTGTGTGTGTACTTATGAATAAAGAAAATATATATACATATAGGGGGTGGATCAGGTACAAGCAATGCTTATTGTGCAAATATTTGTACGATGCATTTTTACGTTATTTGTATTGCAAATGAATATTGAAAGTGTTACACATTATTATGCAATGAAATAAGTAGTTGCATATTAACGTTTAAAATGTTGCACGGAAAAAAGTTTGGTGTTTTTACCAAATGCCACCGTGTACTAGGCTTTGGATCAACTCATCGGATGATCAAGATGATTTTGTAAATTAGAAAATGTTTGTATTTGATCTCTCTTATATATGTGATCCTAAACATATACTCCTAAAATGATTTGAATGCCTTCCCGATAATCTCATTGTAAACTCATTTAAATGGATGGTTAGGATTTATTTGCACTTTGTAAATTAAGATGACTTTGTATTTGATCTGTGTGTGTGTGTGTGTGTGTGTGTGTGTGTGTGTGTGTGTATATGAGAACTCTTCCGGTCATATATATATATATGACTGCGTTTTTATATGTATATTTTGACGCAGTCAACTTCAAAAAATGATTTGAATGCCTTCACGAACAAATTTTGAGCTGCAATTTGGTATAGACAAACTAGACTTGATGAAGAACATGCTCAAAAAATTTCATCAAAAAATTCCACCGGGAAGTGCCCTAAATGGCCATGTTCGGACACTGTTCGGACCGGGGGCTGCTGGACAGGATCATTCCTCTCTCTCTCTCTCTCTCTCTATATATATATATATATATATATATATATATATATATATATGTAATGTGTGTGTGGGGGGAGAGTTTAAATAAAAAGAGTTTTAACGTCTAAAATAAGAGTTAATCTCAGCCGTCATACTAACAATCTGATGCACAATAAACTTTATTTAACGCATTTTTCGAATAAACCTTATCTGATGCACTTCTCTAACATTTAGATGCGGTTGTATTTTCGTAGATATTGAAAAAATGCATCATATAAGGTTTATTGTGCATCATTATTTGGACGACAGAGATTATTTTTAATTTACACAATAAAATTTGTGAAATGTCGTGTATCATGTATGTTAGTATGTATGCAAAAATGTATGTATATATATTAATATATATATACATAATATTTCACAATTTTCTATTTATCTCTAATCCTTCCCCCACCCCGTGGCATGTCTATCTTGCTATATGTTATGCACCTGTCATCCCCGTTCAATTGTCACCTAGAAGAGTGATTAAGCAAAGAAAAACGTAGTTCGTCAAGAAGGCTTGATGAGTGCCTTTACCAAAATGATTATATCACTTACCTTTTCGATTTTACAGGAATGGGCTGTTTTAAGGTGTCATTTTATGCAGTTAAAAATCTATCTCTGGTCTGCAACTGTGAAGATATCTTTTGTCATTTCCACATGCAGATTCAGCCTGTATAAACCGTTATAATGTGTGCACAATATATATTTCATTGTAGTATCAAAGGCGAGAGTCAATTGTTGAGATTACATTTACTCCCTTTTTTTTAGCTTCGGGGTGAAATGAAAAACTTGTGGCGATAGACGAGAAAGTGAAATTTTTAGTTGAAAAGTGTCGATGATATTTGTTTTTTGGTAAGCCCAGACTAGTGTTGGACCCGGTTCGGGACGCCCGAGCCGGGAACCGGCCCGGCCCGCTACTGTGTGGGCCCGGCCCGGCCCGGTGTACCGGTTTGGTTCCGGGCCTAGGCCCGGTCCCGGGGGTTAGGGTGGGGCGGTCCCGGTTCACCCCCTTCTTTGGAACAGGCCCGGGCGGTCCCGGTTTGTTTTTTTTTTTGGTTTTTTTCATTGTTTTGGGCTTTTTCCTGAGTTGGGTTGGATGTTTGGGAGGGTTTGGGGGGTGGGGGGGTGTCGGGGGTTAATAAGAAAAGCAAAAAAAAACATGGACCCGGCCCGTACCCAGTGGTAACCCGGGCCGGTCGCGGGCCTTCTACCAAAAATCAAAATCCCGGCCGGGCCTAGGCCTGACCCGGACCCGGCCCGGCCCGAGTCCATGACTAGCCCAGACGCATTAGCGCCTATCTTTCATTTATAACCTTACCCCATTTTCATGTTTCAATGGTAGTGGAACGGAGGTAGTAGAACACAAAACTAATGTTACTAATTAACACACAATATTTAATAAACTAATAAGTACGAAGTATTTCTCTTAAAATTAAAAATAGAATAATAAAACATTAATACCTAAAATATTTTATAATGCACAAGTTAAAATAACTTAAGTTAGAAAGTTGATTGGAAAGGCGGGAAAGTTTTTTTTTTATCATCAAACGGGCCTCTATTCATATCAAAAGATTCAGGATCATTACATCAAGCAAAAGGAAAATAAAACTGACACCAAGTGAAACTTCAACAACTACGACTGTAACCCTATGGTGAGACTTTGAGACAGCCACCCCTGAGAGGGCAACACGAATCGCTAACCATGTAGTGGGCTTGACACAGCCAAACCTATTCCCATAGATCCAACCATACCCAATTACATAAAGAGAGACAAAAAACTCAAACAAACTGTCAAAACCAACAACAAAAGTGGACACAAGAAAACAAATAACAAACAGATTAAAACTACAAGAAAAGCGTTCACGAACTCTAACACCTCGTACATCCCATGGTGGTGGTTCAGAAGGAGGTCTTACCACCGGTACCATGTTAATTAATACTCCGTGACCTTTGGCTGCCAAAGGCCATGCATCAATCCCCTTCATGGGGGAAAGTTGTGACGTTAAATACTATTTTATACTATACATTGTCATAATAATTGAATATAAAATTAAAGCAAAAGTTTGTTAAAGAAAAAAAAAGAAAAAGAAAGGAGGAAAGCAAGTTAAAGGAACAATAGGCAAAGAGACATGCCGGCAGAAACAAGCTACCTAACTGTTTTATTCTATAAATTAAAATTAATTTAAAATATGCTGGTTATAGCCGATTTTACCATACAATTTGCCGCATTTAATAGTCAAACCATTTGACCGATTTTGATGCAGCAGACCGGTACAGAGTTTTAAATTAATATATTCCACAGTAAAAATGACGGAAAGATGGAGGAAAGCAGTAAAGCAGGGAGGCGTATGCCCAGCACATTCTTTTCTTCCCCTGTCGGCCAAA